TCCACAAAGTCCATGGTGTTCTGTATGTGGTGTTCTGAGCTGCCAACTAAAGGGATGAGTACAGACGCCAGATATTTGGAAACATTGTAAGTGACGGAGTTAATCATGCTAACGATTGGTCTTAAAGGTACACCTTGTTTGTGGATTTTAGGTAAACCATACAGACTAGGTGTGGCCTCCCCTGGGTACAGTCTGTGGTACAGAATACAGTCAATAGCCTTGTCCTGCTCCAAATTTTTCAGGCAGTCTATTAACTTCTTCTTGTAACCACTTCCTGGATCTCTTTTCAGAGGTTCATAAGTGGTTAAGTCACTAAGGAGTGTCATAACTTTCTCATGATAGTCTTTCTGGTTCAAAATCACTGTGCACCTTCCTTTTTCTGCTGGGAGAATGATGATGTTTTTGTCCTTGCTAAGAGTGGTGAGTGCATCCCTCTCCTCTCTACTGATGTTGGAAGGTGGTGGTTTGGCATTGCTGAGACAGGCTGAAACTTTGATTCTGAGCTGTTCTGCTTCACCCTCTTTAATTTTGTTGTTGCGGATGGCTGACTCAGTAGCTGTGATCATATCCACCAGAGGAATTCTACTTGGTGCAACCGCAAAGTTCAGTCCCCTGGCAAGAATCTCTGTCTCCGGCTGGGTGAGCTGTCTGTCAGATAAATTCTTCACCCACTTTTCTGTCTCCCTGGCATGTAATTGACTACTGGAGTGTTTTCCTACACTGAATGTGTTGTTATTGGAATAATGATGGTGTTGATGAGTTATTAGTAAGTTAAACTTATTTTGTTGTCGAGTCTTGGACTTGACATGCTGTGCTAAGCGTGCCTGATCTGTACAGTCCAACACTTGCTGAAGTGTGGTCTGAAGGACCACACTTCACAAAAGGATGGCCCAGCACAGAAGATCAACATCATCAGGCCAGGAGTCTGCGGTCTACACTCATCTCCAGGCCAGCGGTCACTCTTTCAAGGATGAAGATGTTCACATCCTGGACAGAGAGGAACGATGGTTTGAGAGAGGAGTAAAGGAGGCCATCTTTGTGAAAAGAAACCGTCCATCATTAAACAGGGGTGGAGGCCTCCGGGTTCAACTGTCCCCCTCTTACAATGCTGTGATTGCTAGTATCACTCAGCCCTCTGTGAACAGTAAACAGCCATCAGGTGCTAATGATCCATTGTTAGGCTGATGGTCCTTCTTGAGCATGTGATCAGTTGGTTTTGATTGTCAGCAGCAAAACTGGTTGATCCACTCTTAGAAGGTGCTATTTAAGAGACTGAGCTGAAAACAGCAGCTCAGACTGAGGAAGTCTCTTGGATGAGAGACGAAACGTTTCTACATTTTTTTTTTGCTTTGTTTTGTTTTTTGTTTTTTTGAATGTCCAGAGGACCAGATTGAACTTTCTTGGATTTTTCTACCTGGATTATTGAGCATGCATCAGGATACATTTGATATCTTTTGCACTGTTTTGCACTACAAGCAAGAAGCCTAACACTTGATTTGTTAATTATTTAAAAACTCTCTGGACCTAGTAGTGGAATTTTTTTTTAAATTCAAAACATGTTATGGCAAAAGGATATCCTATGATTTTTTTAAAATTCCTATTAAGTTTTATACCAAAAACATCACGATATATATCGTTATCGCCACCCTTCACAATACATATCGTGATATGAATTTTATGCCATATCGCACATTCCTAGCCGCAGCATTGTATAAACATCAGGGTTCAAATCCTGTGGAAAAAGTAGTGTCTTGTAGTCCAGAAAGGTCATAGAGTTTATTTCTTTGTGTTCTGCAGAATCAAGGCGGAGGACTCCATGGACATGGGCGTGGTCTTGCTGTTTTATGGACTGTACTACGGCGTGATGGGCAGAGACTTTGCCGAAATCTGCTCCGACTACATGGCTGCAACCATCGGGGTAAAAACGTGTGTGTGTGTGTGTGTGTGTGTGTGTGTGTGTGTTAGGGCTGCAACTAACGATTATTTCAATAATTGATTAATCACCAGATTATTATTTTTTTTCTTCGAGTAATTGATGAATCAGCAAAAAACCAAAATTTCCACCCCTTTATTCCAAAATTGAACATTTGACTGACATAGCAATTCGCACAAAAAACATGTTGCTACTTGGCTATTCTGTTAGTAAAATATTGAATAATAAAAAATAAGTTAGTCAAATAGCTTAAAAAAATTAATGTACACAAAAATATATACAAATGTGTCTTTATACCTGCACAATATGTAGCTACTTTGTAAAATGTGTCCTTGAGGGAAGAGTGTAACCTGGATTAAAAGTGGATTATTGTAGTGAAGCCTTCGTCTTCAACCATCGACAGAGGCCTCATGTCAGTGACAGATCATTTAAGGATCTTTCAGTGAAGACAGCTGCTGCTGTGGTGTCCATGATGTCTGTCCATCATGAAGGATGTTGTTGTTTGTTGTTGTTGTTTTCTGGAATGAGACAGTAAATATGTTTTATATCATAATTTACAGCAACTCAAGAAATGCCTTGTTTCACTTACAGTGTTAGGTTCAGGCAAATAAGTAGCTCAAAGAGCAATTAAACACACACACACACAAACAATACTTAATTACACACATTTGAGTAGATGTAATAAATTACTTTAATTCCTGTTTAAATGCAATTCATCCTGCCATACCTGCAGTGTCTTCAGACTTTGCCAGCAAATTAAAAGTTGAAGCTTAATCATTAAATTATTATCTTTGTGTTAGATTTATTTATAAATCACATTTAAACACTGCTTGTACCAATTAAATAAAATAAAAAGTAACACGTTCTCTATCACCGTCATTAATCAGCAAACAAACAAGCAGCAGTTTCAGCTTCAGAGAGACTGACGTTACGTTTTCTCTCTTGGAAACAGAACAAATGTGAATATTGTAGAGAGACACCTGCAACACATGAGTTGTATCAGCTGTTCAGCTCCTTCCTCCTCCTCGTGACTCCGACATGTTCACATTTCATCTCCATGGTTCTCCCGTATCGTCACTTTTCAAAGCTGCATGTTTCTCAGTTTTTATCTTTGTGAAGTTCTTCCACATTTTGGAGGACTTGGGTCGAACAGTTTTCTCTGCGTCTGTCATTTGTAAAATTGACTTATTTTCCTTTGAAAACAGCCTCTGCTCTGCTTCTAC